TATATATATATATATATATATGTGTGTGTATGTGTATATATATATACATATATATATATATATATATATATATCTCAGTCTGGCGAGTAAACTAAAAAATGTACTAGCCAATGGCGATTCAATTGCCAAGGTGTTCGTAGAGGGCTGCAGTGTCACATGATCCTTCAGAAATCAATCGAATATGCTAATTGCCTGCGCAAGAAGCTTCTTATTATTATCAGTGTTGAAAATAGCTGTGCTGCTTAATATTTTTGTGTAAACGGTTATACTTTTTTTCAGGATTCTTTGATGAAAAGAAAATTCAAAATAACAGCATTTATTTGAAACAAATGAAAATAAAACAAAACACATTTACTGCCACTTTTAATTAGTTTAATGCATCATTGCTGGGAAAAAAAATAATACTTTAAAAATGCATGGACTATTTTTATGGCGTTTTGTCATTTTTGGCGGTGATTTTGCCAACCCTAACCTCTGTTCACTTTCATTGTATGCATGAGAGCAGCATGAACATTTTGCTAAATATCTCCTTTAGTGTTCCACAGAAAAAAGAAATGCATAACAATTTGGAACAAAATGAGGGTGACTAAACTACACTTTTTTCATCATGTTCGTGTGAACTATCACTTTCTTGTGTACATGAATGTGTGAGACAGACAGAGGGTGCTTACCTTCAGCGAGTCTGCGCTCATGGCCGCAGAACACGCGTGTTTGTGAGCTGTGCAGGCAGGGCAGAGGCAGCTGCGGGAGGGAGCCGTCACCAGTCACCTGACTCATGCTCTGAGGGCAAAAGGTCAAAGTGTCATAAATATCAACATCACTTGAAGAAAAGGCTCTTCTTTTTACGTACAAGTTGTACTCAGGCATTCACTGAGTACCATCCCTTCTATCGATGCCTTCTGATTGGCCAACAAAGCCAAACATGTGATCACGCAGTGCTTCTGCACATTATACACACACCCCTAAATGATTAGTATTAAGGCCTGCTGACACAAAGAACTATGAGTATAAAGATAACTATCACAAGTTTTTAACTATGTTGAAAATAGTACAAAATAATTCAAAATATAAATAAATACTACATTAGTATATAAATAATACTAAAATAACATTGCAATTAGACTGTAAATAACCACATTCGAAAGTGTTATTTCAATTTTGAATCATGGAAATGTGTTTTACAGAAAGGGTCTATAGATGGTTGAGAATGATCATATGCTGTATCATTGTACTGCACAAAGATTTTTGCTGTCTATGATACGTGACACTGATATTTTACACAACTGTTCCTGCATGGAATGCTAGAACGGTACCATAAAACTCCCATTAAGAAATAAAACAAAGTTGTCATTTCCTCTTATTATGTATTCAGGCCGGGTGCTTGAAGGTGATGGAGTTCTGTGGACCAGAACAACCCAGGGCCAGAGCGCTGATGAAAAACACTCAACCAAACGATGACGAAAGAGCAGTCTCACACAGAGACACAGACAGTTCAACTCAGGGCTAAAGTCTGATTGTGGTGGGGGGAAAGAAACTGGGTCAGTGGCCTGAATGTGACACTGCCAGAGTCTAGCTGCTTTCTGAGAGCAAAATAAGATGAAATGCAGGTTCACTGTGAAAACTGCTTTTTTTACTATTAGCGTTTACTGTTTGGTTAAATAGTAAAAATGTAATGGTGTAAAAATCCAGTAAAAAGCAAGAAGAGTAATAATATACAAAGTTATATTTCCTTACATCTTGAAATATGAGTGTACAAATCAATCACTATTTTCAGATTTCTAAAATTGTGAAATATCATTGCAAGTTTTCTACTTGAATATAATTTATAAATGTAATTTATTCCTATGATGACAAAGCTGAATTTTCAGCATCATTACTCTTCAGAGTCGTCAGAGTCACACGCTCCTTTAAAAATCATTCTAATATGCTGCTGAAGAAACCATTCTTAACATTACCAATTTTAAAATCAGTTTTGCTGCTTAATATTAATAATAAATAATTTTTCTCAGGAATCTTTAATGAATAGAAGGTTCAGAAGAACAGCATTTACTTTAAAAAGAGAGAATATGTATATACACTACTGTTCAAAAGTTTGGGATCAGTAAGACTTATAATGTTTTTAAAGAAGTCTCTTATGCTCATCAAGGCTGCATTATTTGATAAATACAGAAAAAAAAACAGTAATCTTGCAAAATGTTGTTACAATATAAAATAATGGTTTCTATTTTAATATACTTTAAAATATAATTATATACATGTATATATAAATATGTATATATGTATATGTGTGTATTAGGGATGTGCCGATACAAGTATCGGTACCGAACGGTTCACAGGGGAAATTCCAAATGGAAGTGATCATCCTATCCCCTTGGAGTGGGGACTTTGGAGTGAGCAGGGCACGTGCGTGCCATTATGTAGTCGTTTGGAATGCACTTGGCAAAGCGAGTGATGTAATTTCCTTAATATCTTCAGCTGGGATGTTCCCGTGACTACACAGCATGGTGTCCGTCAGCAGATGTTGCCGTTTTACTGTCATAAATGTATTTTTTATTGTTGTTAGCATAACTGTTACAAATAAACATACATTTTATATTTTAAAAAGTTTTTAAAATATGCTATATAATATATAAAAACTAATATATATATATAAAACTTCTTAAAATATAAAATGCATGTTGTTGTCACGGGAACATGCCAGCTGAAGATAATAAGGAAATTACATCGCTCGCTTTGCCAAGTGCATTCCAAATTACTACATAATGGCACGCACAAGATAAGAGTAATACATCTTTCAAATCTGTAAAGACTACGTTTATTTGTGTGCACTCACAATAAAAACAAATCGCGCTTTTGTGAAATAATGAAAGCAAACCGGATGAGCTTTCTGCCGTCTCGTTCTCTGTAAACTTAGATGAGTCAATCAAACTTTATCAGTTAGCAAGATATCAGCATTTGACACTCAAGATGAGGCCTGGCATAATGGTCACATTATAGAGCAAGAGTATGTATGCTTCCTAGGGGTGGGCGATATGATCAAAAACTCATATCACAATATGAGTAATTTTATTTCACGTTAATGACATGCATCACAATATAATTGTTTATGCTTTAAATAAAGTCTTTATGATATCAACATTTTTGATTCAAATATCATAATATGATATAAATATCATAATTATTGTCACCAGTGTCAACATCTTCAAAAAAAAAACTAATACTAGCCTAAAGTAAAAAAAAAAGTCACTTAAGACAAGTAAACAGTCAGCAATTAAATAAGAATAAGAAACTAATTACAAGCAACAGGACAAAAAACTACAGTAGAACAATTAAATAAGAAATGCTACATTGTATAAAGTAATCAAATATATAAAAACACTGCATATTCTTCACTGTGTAAACAAAATATATTTCTTCTTATTAAAGTTACAAAAGTGATTTAGTCAAGAGCAGTGAGCGATATTCTCTCTTTTGTTGTTTGATTAACATGAATGACAGACAGCAGCATTTTTAGACTGCTGTCATTTTAAGAGCTGCCCGGATCCAAGTCAAGTCACCTTTATTTATATAGCGCTTTTAGCAATACAGATTGTGCCAAAGCAGCTTTATAGAATTAAACAGGAAAAATAGTGTCAATAATGCAAAAGGACAATAGTAAACATTCAATTTTCAGTTAAAGGCAGTTCATCATTGAATTCAGTGATGTCGTCATGCAGCTCAGTTCAGTTTAAATAGTATCTGTGCAATCAAGTCGACGATATCGACCAATATACTGTTACACGTTTTCTTTCTAAGCTGTTTGCTTTCACTTAATACCTAAATTACTGTTTATGAGGAT